CACCACCACCACCACCACCACCACCACCACCACCACCACCACCACCACCACCACCACCACCACCACCACTGCCACCGCCGCCACCACCACCACCACCACCACCACCACCACAACCACCACCACAACCACAACTACTACCACTAGCTGCAGCAGCAGCTAGTGGTAGTAGTTGTAGCAGCAGTAGCAGTTGTAGCTATCAGCAACATTAACGCAGTAACAGGGGCGGTGGCAGCTTCCACAGGTGCGCAGAAAGCAGCGCCTGTTGACCTGAAAATTTCATGCAACTCTAAACTGTGTAATCCATCCGTCCTCCGCTCTTCTCCCGTGACTGGTCTTGGAGAAGAAGCTACTGCCTGACAGCCACAGGAAACAAACGACCACTGCAATAAAATTCCGTCTCTTTGGCCGAAACTGGATTGCAATGCGGTCCTTCCCAGGGCTTGCATAGTATCCTGCGCAGTATGGACGAAGTAAGTATGCAGTTTAGAGGGCCCTCGTCTGAGCTGTCTCCATGTTATTGCACGTCTCAGCGACCTAGGAGCTTCGTGGCATGCATGCGCTGCAATCCCACGCTGCTGAAACGGCGCAAAGCTCTGCCCCACGCCGTACCTGAAACCTCGTTATCCAGATCGGCTAGAACTCTCTACTTCTGCGGAGCCACTGACGTCCTAAGCTTCGAGACGCAATACAAAATCCTGCACGCAACCTCGCAACCTTTATGCCAGTCTCCCACCGCGAACTCCCAAACGCCCGCTACGGTATTTGGGGCTCTCGACTATACTCGGCATTGCAGGCCACTTTTTGCTCCGAATGCTGATGCTCATCTTGCATGCATGACCGCACGTCGAACAAGGGTAGGAGTCCTAGGTCAAGTCATTTTGACTGAAACCGGGAGATTAAAAATTCGCAGATCGAAGCGAAAGCCAAAAGAAGTAGAGGCCGACCCTACGGGCAACCTACAACAAATCTGGTTACTCAAGTTGAAATGAGTCAACATGAGTTCTCATACTCCCAGCCATCTGGAGTGGCCCTCGCCACGTCCAAAGCTGCAATGAGGAAAACTTCAGGGAAAAAATCTGCAGGAGGACTTCCTGTATGACCACACAAACAGCACTTTTACCTCAGAGAGACAGCCAGCGAAGTGGTTGTGGTGGCCTCAAAGGGAAAGTGCACAATGAGGCCACCTCCGAAGGAACTCGGGCTTTCCTTGGCTGTTGCTTCTGACAAGCTGCTGGCTTCTATCTCATGCTATATAATTATTCACTTCGGCCTCTGGCCGACAAGCGTCTGGAACAAGCTGACAGGATCCAGCCTTATCACTCCTCTCCCCCACCCCCAAGCCCCTCACCCCCCCTCCGCGCAGACCCCCCCCAATTGCGGCTGCCGAGGCGGACGCGCTCTGGCACTTACAAAAATGGTGTTGCATGCTCTGACAATTCAAGACCAGCGTCTTCAGGTAATTTGCAACAAGTTGCTCCGCATCCCGTATGCACAGCCCTGAGGAAAGAATGATGTCTGCCTTGCACTGCTGCTTCGCCCAAATGCGGGCACGACGAAGCATCTGATCTGACCTTGCAACCACGCACATTCGGAGATCTCGATCTTCGGTTGTGCTGTCAAGGGCTTCCATGATGGGCTTTGCCTCTCGCCACTCCGCGATGAGCAGCACGCTCCCAGTGCTACCCTGCAGCCAGCTCAGAAAGCCCATACACTTCTTGAAGCACCGGAACTTGAACCCGAACAACTCAGCCAGATTCCGCATCTGCCCCTGCAGTTCCTCCTGCTCTGGTTTCTGACAGTGCTCAAAGCACCAAACCAGCCAGGGCTCACAAGCAAGCGAAGAATGCAGTCTGTGCTCAGCCATGCGAGACTTGAGGTTTCTAATTGGAAGGCTTATCTTACCTGACTCCTGGAGCTTTGCTGCAACAAATGGCAACGGCTACATGGATTGGGATGGCTTCGTGCTTCCAATTCGTTTCCCTTGCATGTTGCCAACAACTGCAGGTGGAAGTGGCGGCATAAAGATTGATGACATCTATCCCAACGCCACGCTAAATCGCACAGGACATACATGCCGCATCTGCACGGAACAACGCCCCGACAAGCCGGAACCAACCGTTGCAAAGGTGCTAGATATTGTGGACTCAAGTCTGAAGTTGTTTTCTTGCAAACAAACTGTTCAGCCTCCTTCGTGTGTAAATCAAGGTAATGAGATCATGAACACTCAGAACAGCTTATGCGCACTTAAGCCAACACAAATATGTCACTGGTAAAGTTTCTTAAAGGATTCTCTATGTGAACGTGATACTAGCCCAAGCAGCCATTACAGTCCACCTTCCAGCAAGACTTCTTCTGGAAAGGTGCAGTCCGCCAGCCAAACCCCTTGAGGTTGGGAGTAGAGTAAAGACATGGCTACAACTTTCTTGCAAAAACCCTCAGCAACAAGACTAACCGCCTTCTATCCTAAGAGACACTACAAAGCCTAGGGCTCATGGTTTAGGTCAGGCCCAGCGACCACAAGAGATAACGGACATAATAATGCCGCCCCGAAATACTCGAATTTTACCAATCTGACTGTACTCGGTGAAGGCCTAACCGAACTGATGAAGCACAAAGGCTCATGAAGGCATGAGGAACTGAACTTGTCGCGCCTCATCCGGCAGTGACGCGGACAAGCTCAAGTCTTGCAGGGCTCGGCCTACGTTGAAAGAGCGCTACTTAGACAAAGTGCTTCCTGTCAGGGATCTAGCGGGAATTGCTTCAGAAACAAATCTCCGGAGCTTAAGGGCCTGGAACTTGAAACTAGTGCCACGTGCCTCAACAACAGCCTAAGCTAAACCATCCCACAAATGACTCGCAGATTGGGGAAATCCATACCTTAGGCGCTGTCGAGCTCAGGCGAGGTCTCAGCATAGAAAACTTGGGATCAGGCTTTCACATGTCTGCGGTGGCAGGTGGGAAGTTGGTAGTGATTGGTAGGAGGCTGGTAGCTGTGCATGCAGCAGAGAATCCACACACTGCATGGAATTTCTTACAGTCTTCAATGTTATTGTACGACAACTAATGCAGGCGAGACCCCAAACAGCATGGATGGAAAACATGCGAATGCAAGTTATAATTGGCGTTCAACACTTGTCCGAAAATGTCATGGGAAAGCACCACTACCTACTGCAGTACTTTTCACTGATGGTATATCGTATCAGGCACTGTCAAGGTTTCATAGTGTTGCAGTGTCATTCGAGTATGGCAGCCATACAAGGCTCGTATGAGGACAGCGCGTCGCGAAAAAACACATTTTTTTCGCCACCTGGCAACGAGACTCTGAAGTGCCTCTTTTCACAAAAGGCAAAAAAAAACATGGTTGAACTAGGAACCGAAACAGTGAGTCTTTCAAAATGGCAGATTCACGGTCCCCAAGAAATGAGAAACTCTGAGCTGTAAACTTGATATGTCTACATAGCCCGAAACGAACACTACAACCACGACACCCTTGCAACCGGCTGAGATCGCAGCACACACGCTCTTTGGCAGCTGCCAACTCACAACACTTGCGCTCGGCTGCTGCAGTCTGCACCCAACAGGCATTTGGGGATTGAGGCGATGGGCTGCAGCAGGGCTCAGCATGGGAGCTTTATGGGAAATACAAGCTAAGCCCCACAACTGCAAAGAATGGCCACACGAACCAACCAGCTGCCCGAAACTCCGGCGCGACCCCGGACTCTCAGGTTATGCCCGACAACGTCCGACAAGACTTCTCACTTCTCTCTCTAAGATCAGAACCTGTTATCCGGAGGCTCAAGTCTCAGCTGTAGGCGGTAACACTGTGCCGGTCACCCCTCCTGCTCCTCCTCTTCCTGTTCCTGCTCGTCCTCCCCCACCACCAGTGCTACTAACTCGCATCCCGTAGCTTCCAGACCTGGCTGGCCGCTCTTCGCAGGCGCCGCAGTGCACCCGAAGAGGCCACGCGGTGCTCCTCTCGAGCGCATTTTACCGCAGCCTGGCGGGCTTTCCGTTTTTGCGCTTTTCAGTGAGAGGTCTGATGGCAGTTTTGCTTTGGGAGCTAGAATGCGGGGTCAAAGTGAGAAAAAAACAGCCGGTTTACTGCAGCTGAAACTCTCACCCCAAATTCATTCTTATCACCATCATCAAAAGAGATCGCAACTCTGTGACTCTGCGGGTGGCCTCCGCGGACTCGAGCTCGCTTTTCAGCTCGACGGCCTGGGCGTCTCCTGAGCAGGAGGGTCTAGGGCTTGTGGGTTCAGGGCTTGAGGATTCAAGGCTTGAAGGTTCAGGGCTTTTGATTTACGAGTAGGGTTTAGGTTTGGAAGCGAAGTTAGGGTTAAGAGACTGGGGTTTGGAGCTCAGAATTTAAGGCCAGGAGCTTAAGTATTTAGTAGAGGGGCCCCCACAAGCGGCCGTTCTGTGCGATACCGTAGCTGTAGATGAGCCCCAAGACCTGGCAATAAGTCAAGCTCCGATGCCAGGAGCATGCGGAGGAATTGGCAACATGGAGCAAAAATGATTCAAAGGCGGTCCTGGTGAAGACAGCTGAAACTTCAATCGCTAGTAACTGAAGCATCTATGTTCGGACTTTTGGGCTGTTTACTTCACAACTTCAACCAACCGCCTGCTCAACTCACACCGGCACCTAACAGGAACAGCCTAAGAGGAACAGCCTAACAGGAGCAGTATGACAGGCGTCGAATGGCGTTGACAAATTATGACATGTGGCGAGTGATTTAATTACCGGCTTACCGCCTTCAACGCAGCCAAATCTTGAGAACCCCTCAACTCAGACATAGGTCCTAGTAGAAAACCTGGAAGCCTGAAGGGTAACGAACTGCGGTAGATCTGGTGTGATCTGGTCTAGGATTCACAGCAAAAATTTTGCCTGGGGAGTGTCCGCAATTGCGAGCCAGACTTGCCTAGAGCCAAGCCCAAGCAAGCCTCGATGAACTTTTGCTACACTCAGGCAAGTTTCCGGTGCTGCAAACATTCTACCCCCAGTTGTGGATCTTTAGATCCAATCAAAAACACCTCCGACAACATGCCCCAGGCGCAAACAATCACCAGGACTACAAAGCCGCCATGTCTCTTGCCACCCGCTGGGCTTGCTCTTGCCGCTCCAGCTCCCGCAAGGCGAGCACCACTGACTCTGGTCGCCCCTGGTCAACGGTTCCACAGCCAGGTTGCCACAGAAGAGACAATACTTTCATCATGGGAAGCCATGCCATGGAACTGAACCTCAGCTAACCTGGTGCAAGAACGAATGCTTACAAATGTGATAGATCATGCCAGCACGCATCGAAGCCTAAACCTGCATGTCAAAGGAACTCTCTCTAACAAGCTAGAGAAGCCCAACTAATCCCTGATCCTAACCTCTGACAGCTTCTTGGACTCCTAGAACCTGCCCGTATCGAACCTCACAAAAACTTCTCTATCAGAACATGCTCCGGACAACCTTGGGACAACCTGCGATGAACACCTAAAGCAAGGAGCCTTCATCTTTGGACCTTCAGCCCTTTTACGTCTCGTTCGCATACGGACCGTGTGAAAGACCTCTAAGAAAGATGCTTCTAGCAACAGCTGCAACAGCTAGCAGTCAGAACATTCTAGTCGCAAAGCTTAGACAAAGAGCTCATCCAAAAGTTGCAAAGATCCTCATCATCTCCTTCTTAGCTTGAGAGAGCCTGAGCCGGAACCACTTTTCGGCTCGTTTCGCCCTTCGCAGCGCCTGCTGTACATGTGGGTTTCTCAAAATTAGGGGTACCTTTTTGGGGGTCCCAATATTCAGGACTATAGTATATTGGGGTCTGTATTGAGGTCCCCTAATTTTGGGAAACTACCACATTTTGTTTAAGGCGAGGCAAAATGACCCCGGGATTTGGGATCTGAAGCCGCCAGCGGGCTTCAATGGGAGGCAGGTTGGACTTTGGGAGACTGTTTGACTGCTGATCAGAAGCCTGGGCCCACACATGTGCTAACAGGCTATGCATGCACCCCTTGCCAGACTATTCACTATCACCATTGCCTGAATGCGAGCGCGCAGACAGCGGCGAGTTCTTCAGCGGGGCTGCAAACTCCTGCGGCTTTCTTTGAGCCTGCCCACGGTCTGCAGTGCGAACCGACAACTTGAGGCCTAGTTTTTCTCCTCCAACACCTCAATCACATCACTTTGAAAGGAGACATCAAGCCTGGCCAACACCTGCGGAAATACCTGACAGCGCCTGAGGAAGCAAACAAGTCAGGCAACCCACCGTTGTATTCTGGCAATGGCACAACAACGGAATTCAGAGACAAGTTCCAATGCTGAACCGCTATCTGACAGATCTATTTCGCAGATCCCGTCCGCAAACTACAATGTTAGGATTCCTTGCGTCCACCCAAACAGCCGAGCACAATCACATACAAGATTGCCTCTTGCTGTTTGACGCGCTGCCCTTCAGGACTGACAGCTGCCGTGGGTGGGCAAGCAAAAGAAGCTGTGACTCAGTGACCAAGTTTAGGAAGTAATGAAAGAATCCTGATATGGTAGTTTGAGCAGCCTATTGTTCAGGATTTATGTATCTAGCCCAAAGGCCTTAAGGAACCCTGTGGCCTATTCCTGCCTCATAAAACACATGTCAGTCTAACCCTTACATAACCATGATATTCCTAAGTGGTCTCCATGCTACCTGCCCCGATACACTACAAGATCAACATGCAACACTGAAAGGCCACTTTCCTTCCTTGCCTTGTCGCCTGGCTTCGACTTTGATGCTTCCGACTCTGCTTCTTCAGTCTGCATGTTCGAGGTTAGGCGTTGGGGTTTGGGATTAAGGGTTTAGGACAAGGAAGAAGATATGGCCATCGTCTATGGGGCAGGCATATGACAGTTTTCGATGTCCTGCGTTGTCGGCTAGAAAAAGGATGTGCCAGGGCACCCTTAGGTTGGGATACTTCCAAGTAAATCATGGCTGACAAGGGGTGTGAGCTAGTTGCAATGTTGCGCACGGTTTTCCAGAGTGCTGCTAAAATCACCATTACAATCCACATGCTGGTTCTCAGGTACCACCCTGTGTCATAACAAGGCTCATGTTTGTCCTAACATTCATTATGACAAAGTACTACATACGGTTTTAAATGCTCCCATGATTGCAAAAAGCGAAGTTGCCAACAAACATCTTGGGATGCTGCTCCAGTTCTTGCAAGACTTTGTTTCACCTGCCACCACTGGACAATTTTGAGGTGGTATGTACGAACCTTCAAGCCGACAAAGCTCCCATTTGTCTTGCATTCCACCATATGACCACAGCAGGTGCTGAGTTCAGAGCTTATAAGCTTGGAAAGGCCTCGGTAGAAGACCCCGCAGCACTCGGAACTTCAGGAACTGTTTTGCAAAACACGCCTGCCCAACCCCCGACTCAACCCGGCGCCCTGAAGCAGAACCTACACCCAGAACTCACAGACCATACCCAACCCGCTAGAATTCCACATCCAAGCCCCTTAGGTGCCAACACCCCAAACACCCTGAGCTCCCGACTGAAACACCATCCTTACACCCTCCGCATCCTTCTCCCACCGCCCGCCCCCTGTTTACCGGCCTGGGCGGCTTCCTGCTTAAGCTCGGCCATCTCAGCACTCACTGAAGCCATCTCTTCCTTGAACAGCTGCAACTCCTGCAACCTAAGTGGGGATTTCCCAACATTAGGGAGTCAC